CCAGCCAGCTTACTCAAGAGGAGCTAGAACATATTGCATACGTTCAGAAGTTGGCGGAAGAATCTTTATATCATGTGAAAAATGCTACAGCGGAATTTTCACCGGAAGTACCAGTGGTCAGCCGGCTTACTCAAGAGGAGTTAGATCATATTGCGTATATTGAGAGGTTAGCACAAGAATCCTCATTGGAAACATTGTCACTAATTAAACGTTCAAACCCAGAACAAACTGAGGATAACAGTGCGGTGGAACAACAGGCAGGTTTTAAAGATAAGATTATGAGGAAACTTTCGGCGGAAGTACCGGTGACTAGTCAGCTCACTCAAGAAGAGCTAGATCATATTGCATCCGTTCAGAAGTTGGCAGAAGAATCTTCATCAGGGATGCTGGCACTTTTAGAACCTTCTCTCCCAAAAGAACCAGACAGCAAGACTATTAAACCGAAAGCTGTTGTCAAAGTTGAAGTGGAGTTGTCCCCAGAAATAACAATGGCCAGCCAGCTCACTCAAGAAGAGCTAGATCATATTGCACACATTCAAAGGTTAGCTGATGAGATTTCATTTGGGATAGCGGCGCAACCAGAACGTTCTATCCCAGAACCAGGTGACGATAGAATTTTTATGGAACCGCAAACAGATCGTATGGATCTGCAATCACATGTCATTGCATCAGAAGAGAGCAAAGAAGAATTGTCGGAACTCACATCAGGAGCTGATCAACCTTCATCCTCTAATCTTTCTTCATTGGAAGATGATATTCGCTATGACACCGCATCCCCTAGAGCAAGTAGCAATGAACATGTGGGACTTTTTGTAGCAACCTATTCCGACAATGAGAGTGCACTGACATATAATAGTCAGCTTACACATACAGAACTACAGCATATTGCCTACGCACAACTGGCAGAATCCACAAAGTCAAATCTACAGCTCACTTTGGATGCTGCAGAAGACAAGAGTGTTACGCTACATGTGATTGAAGAGATAACAGAAACAACAAAGCAGCAAGCAAAAGAACCGACGGCAACTTACTTTGCCCAGGAAGAGCTGGATCGTAAACGGTATGAGGAATTAGCAGAGGAATTGTTATTACAGCCGGACACCAGTTTAGAACAAACTGCTCAGAAAGAACCTAGCGAAGGGAAAAGTTCGGATAAAACTTCTGGAGCTGACGAGCAATCACATTCCGATTCATCATTCCTTGAAGGAGATATCGACCACGACATGGCTCCTGAACTCAAATATGGATACATTAAGGTCACTGCCGCCGAAATGATGGAAAAATCAGATGAGCAGTTCTCAGAAGAGGAAGGAGATTATAAAGCAAACCCAAAAGAACGATCTTTATTTACAAATGGTAGGCTGGAGAAGCCCTCCGCATTGCAGCAGTCTGGTGAAAGATCTGACCATGCTTTAGCATCAGGGACTTCCATCGAATCAACAGAAATGGAGTCATTTGAAAACCTTAGAGAGGAACTTGGTCAGGAAAAGTTTATGCTGAAGTCAGCTACTGAAGTCAACCAGCAGGCATTTTCATTTCTTACTTCTCAAATCCCGCAGGAGTGCCAATTGGGCTTAACAGAAAATAAGAAGAAAGAGATGGTTGCCGAGCTTGTCAATTTATACCATACGAGAGGAGACACTCTCGAAGAAAAGATTGGAGAAACATTTGAGCTTGGTGAAAATAATGAGGAAAATTCGGATCGCGCAGCGCTACTAAATCAGCTTGCAAAGCCAGCGGAAATCATGGTAGGAAAAGTTAATACTACTGAGCCTAGTAATGAATTCAACGCGCCATTGACTAGCCAGTCCCTTAAAACCATCGTTACCACTGAGGAAGACCTAGGCGACTATAGCAAGTCGGAATCAACTTCAGGAGCCGATCAATTATCATCCTCAGATCTTTCTTCTTCAGAGACAGACATTCCATCAATCTACAAAACAGCATCTCTTTCTCAAGATTATAGAAAGAAGCAAGATGAGCAATTAGATCAATTGCTAGAGCAAAGTTTTGTAGAAAAATCTACATGGCGATACCCTATCGTGTCGAGTCGTGCAGCTACAGAATCCAAAGAACCCTTCGACCAGCTTACTCAGGAGGAGCTAGATCACATTGCACGGATACAGAAGCTGGCGAAAGAACCTTCATTGGGACTGCTTGCAACGCAACAATTTTCCAAACAAGATCGCGGCGCAAGCGTCACCGCGGAATCCTCAGAAAGAGCTCCCATCCTTTCGACGAATACCGAGAGGGCCAGTGATTCGGAAGACTCTGGAACAACCTCGGGAGCTGACCAGCCATCATCCCCTAATCTTTCTTCGTCGGTAGAAGACTATCTTACCCATGACATCACCTCTCCAGATAAAATAAGTGGAAAGGAAAATTTAGGACTCTTCGAGCTTAAGTATTTTGAGGAAGAAACTGTGATGGTACCATCGACTGAGGGTTATCAGTCTACACAAGAGGAGTTGGACCGTAGTGCACACATGAGGGAGCTAGCAGAACAACGCTCCTTTGAAACTGCAACTATGCCAAAGCCTTTTGCGTCCTATCACACTGATAAGAGTTCCAAAAAACCATCAGTTAGAGAACCTATTAACCTGACGGAGGAGGAACTAAGTCATATTGCCCATATACAGAAACTGGCAGAAGAGTTTGAGATATCAAGCTCACAAGTACCATTCACCACAAATGCCACGAGAGGTTATCTTATGCAAACGCAATTGGATATAATTGGAGACAGAAGTACAGCAGTAAGGCCGCTACCGGAATTGTCGATGGCTACTCAACTTACCCAAGGTGAGTTAGATCATTTAGCCTCCACACAGATACTAGCTGTAAAATCCACAATGGAACTGCGAGTGCAAGAATCGGCAGCTGAGGGCGGACTTGCTACTGTTTCGGAGATGCAGTCACGAGTCCTGACAACCGATAATGCTCATGACGAGTTCAATGATCAGGAAGAGTCAGAATCAACTTCAGGAGCTGATCGGTCGTC